CCTGCCGGCTGCTGGGCGCGGCGGCAGCGAGGGGGGCCAGGGAAACCGCGAAGGGCCACGCCGCGGGAACGGGAAAGGCCACGCAGCCATCGGGTTTGGCATTCGGGGGTATCGTCATCTTTTTTGTTAGTTTCCTTTTGGTTCTATCACAAGTGATATACATGGATGACAATTCCAAAGAGACGAAAAGAATAACAAAAGATGAAGTGAACGTTTCGAACGGCCAGTTTTTGAGGGCTGCACACAAGAGCCAAGCCAGAGACGGTTGCAACGCTTACCACCGCTTTAAGCGTTTCGTACGGCTTTTTGATGAAGACTCAAATACCCCAGTACTTGTAACGGCCAAAAACATAGAAAATCAACTGGTACACGTGTCTCTTGTCAGGAGAATTCCTGGTCAGCACAGTAGCACAAGACGAACACACACAAAAATGATACAAAGAAAACCCTCCTAGTTCCTCTTCAAAACGTTCACATCTCATCAGAGGAATATATACTTACAGGAACTGCCAAGAAAGCAAAATGGAGACAAGATGCGCCGTGTACGGCGTCGCTCTACCCTCTGCGCCAAACTACTGATACGTGTTGTACACAGAGTAAAACTAAAAACATGAAGAAGGATTTATGTGTGTGTGTGAAACTCGATATAAAACTATAAGGTGAGCTTGGCGCGTTGTATTTACTAGACACATACTCGCACTGCACAGATGAAAAACCGTTACACGTACGCACGCATGAGGCAGGTCTACCTTAATCCTCTTCCGATTTTGCGTAGCTGATCTTGCACACCAGGCAACTACCCGCCATGAAGTAGCCCGCGGGGTCGTGCAGCGGCACCTTGCGGTAGCCTTTGTTCAGCACACGCAGTGGGATAATCGCCTCCGCCAAGAGCTGGTTGGAGCTGTACTTGTCGCGGTCGTAAATCTGCATCACCAACGTCGTCATGGCCAACTTGTACACCGTCCACGCGCCTTCCGTTTTTCCCGTGCCGCGCCACACCGGGTGGAAGCCGTTGTTGTGGATCGTGTGCGTGTTGATCGGCTTCTTGTCCACGTTCGGGCCCTCGAGGAACATCGAGACGTAGGGGTCCGCGATGTCGGACTTGCTGCCCTTCGGCGGCTTCGGCAGCGAGAAGCCGGAGATGACCTCCACGAAGACGGAGCACGGCTTCTCGAGCTTGGGGGCGGCACACGTCCGAGGGCGCAGGTAGTCCGGCTTCAGCAGGTAGCCGCAGCGGCCGTTGTCCATAAAGAAGCCGCGATTGAGCCGCCAGCTGAACGTCTTGTTCGACTGCCAGTTGAGCGCCACGATCTGGCAGCCGGTGTTCCAGTGCGGCTGGGGGTCGTAATTGCTGCTGTCGAAGCGCGAGCCGGCTGGGAAGATGCGGCTGAGGTAGGTGTCGTTGATCCGCACCAGCGCGCTGGCGTCTTCGTCGGCCACCGTCTTCGCCTTCTTCTCGGAGTAGGAGGAGCAGTGGTAAGGCTGCTTCTTCGCCAGGTAGGACAGGTCCTTCACCCCCTTGTAGCCGGTCGACTCAATGGACACGAGGGCCGACAGCCTCGCCGACACCTTCGTCTCCTTCGGCTCCGCCTTGCTGTCCTTCTTCATCTGGGCGTAGGCGGCGTTGTTTTGCAGCGACGCCGCGTCCGTCTCGCTGTCGTCGTCGTCGTCCTTGTCCACGCCGACCTCCCCAACCGCGCTCTCCACCCGCTTCGTCTTGGCCAGTATCTTGTGCTTTAAGTTGTTCGGCGAAAAGGTGAAGGCGGGCTTCTCGCCCGGGCCCCACGTCGGCTTAAAGAGGAGGTCGCCGAGCTTCTCCTCCATGATCTCCGCCATCCGGTCCTGCTGCTCCAGCGACGTGTGCACCTCGAGCGACAGGATGAGGGGGTAGGGCGAGGTGGTGAAAGCGTACTCCTTGATGACCTGGATGCAGTCGGCAAAGAGAATGCGCGACGTACGCGTGTAGCCGTGGTAGACGATCGGCTCCCCGCGTGGGCCGTTCCAGCAGTCCAACTCCACGCACCTGCAGCCGTCCAGGAGCGCCTTCTTGTACATCTGCGTGGACGACGCGCTCGCCAGCTGATCGCCGGTGAGGTAGGTGTTGTGCGAGGAGTTGATGAAGTAACAGCAGATGTCCTGGTCCATGTCCTGGTACACAGTCTCCAGCTTCTCCTCATCGATGGCCGCGTCAAAGAAGTCGCTCATTAAGTAGCGAACAAAGTCCTTCTCCGTGATGTCCGTCGTGTTCACGCAGCCCAACATGGTGAGCTTCTCGTTGATCGTGTCATCGTCCCACGACTCGCCCTGCACCTCGCGAACGAAGTCGTCGAAGGCGTCGCGCGTGATCGTCTCTTTTCCTTTCGCGAGGTCCTGAAAGACGTAGCCGAGCTCCTTGAAGCTCATCGTATCCGCGTAGACCTTCTCGAACTGCGCGAAGGTGATGGTGCGGCTGCGATTCAGGCGAAACGGTTTTAAAATCTCCTCCGCGAGCTCCTCGGCAAAGTTCAGCCCGACCACGAGCTTCTTCATCTCTCGGTAGTTCAGGTCACCGCTGTTGTCCTTGTCGTACGTCATCCAAACCTGCATGATCTTCGCCGCCGTCGGGTCCGGGGCGACGTTCGCGGTGTTCTTCTTCGACAGAAAGCCGTCGAGAAAGGCGCTCGTGCTGACGCTGCGGTCGCACGAGCCAATCAAGAACTCGTTCGCTTCCTCCTTGCTGCAGTGCATCATGCCGCGAAGCGCCATCCGCAGCGACGCGAAGAAGCACGCCGCCTCATTCTCGCTCGGGCTGGCCGTGGCGAAGTAATTCTCCGTGAGCGCCGTGCAGGCCGGCACGTACTTGGCCGAGCGCTTGCCAAAGGCGTGGGGAGTCGAGGGACATCCGCCCATTGATGCTAGAGATGCAGTGTGAAGGCGGAAAAGGAAAAGTACAGCGTGAAAGATGTCAGCGCCGTCCGTCTTGAACACACACAAAACAAAACAAAACAAAACAGCTGCAAAGTAAATGTATAGGCAAAGAAGAAAAAATACTCGAACGAAGGAGTGACACACACACACACACACACGCACGCTGGAAACGAATGCCACAACAAAAAAAAGACAAAGAAAACAAGCAAAGACAATCACGATGCAGTGCTAAGTATGGTGAGCTGCGGCGCGATGGGTAGAAGAACAACAACAAAATAGTGCTGCTGACGAAGGAGAACGTTTGATGCTGTGTCGACTAGAACACGAGAGCTCGACGCTTTCCAAAAAATGTTTCTTTTCGCAGAGTGCGTGATTCATTACAGTGAGAGAGAGAGAAACGAAAAGGAACAGTAAGGGTACATGGTGGAAGTATGTGCGCCGCTCTTCTTCATCACCCAGGCAGAAACGCGTGCATGTGCTTACTTGATTGGAAAACCGAAGAGGGCAGCCATTCTCCAAGAACGTAGCCTGCCGCAGCGGGACCACAAAAGGCCGCATTGAAGTGACTTCAAAGGAAAAAGATAAGGCCAAAAGCGCCTTCGCCTTTCCACCATCAGCGACCGAATTCAAAACACTTTTTTTCTTCGTTCGTGCCGCTGCTCTGCCGTAATACTTGCTGACTAACGTTATCAGTTGTGCGGAAACCAAAATGTGTGACAAAGCGCTAGAAATACACACCGCAGTGACGACAGAGAGTCACTCGACCCACAACAGAAAGAAGAGAAATGCAATGCACCGTTGTATTCTTTCTCGCCGCAATACTAACAAAAGAAGCGTCGCGAGTTACTCGCACTGCTGCATGTTGACACGACACGAGTAAGAGAGGTGCGGCATCCCACAGGTCACACACGGCTGCACGGGCTGCAGACCGCTTTTGCAGTGGGGGCAAAACAAAACGTCGATGGGGCGGTTGGCGTGTCCGCAGGTGCCGCACCGCCACAGCCGCGCTTTGGCCCGGCACTCAAAGGACGAGTCGGGCCGCCCTGTCCCACAGGTCACACAGTGCGCACTCCAGCCGTAGTTCCACTGTCCACACAGCGCACCGTCCTCGCTCTCGTGCAAGCACCGCCAGACAGCGGTGACAGGGGCGGCGTCAGCTTCCGCGGCCACCATCAGCGCCTCCACCTCAGGGCGGGGAAACAGACAGTGGCGGCAGTGAAAGCCGGTCTGCAGCTCCCCTTGCTGCGGATGCCCTGCTGCGGCGCAGTGCAGACACCGAAAGACGTAATTCTCATTCACGCCTTGCACCGCGCCGCAGTGATGAAAGGCGCCACGTGGCGAGACGCTGGTCGGGTGGATCGTCTTGGCACAGAACATGCAGTGCCGAGGAAGCAGGGGGGAGTACAGCAGAAGGTCGGAGCGGGGGTGCGGGGTCTGGCAGTGCGGACAGAGATGCACCGCGATTGCTTTGCTGTCTACGGTGAGTACGACTCGACGAAGCGACTTCGAGGAGACGTGGGCGTGGCAGCCGGCGCAGGTGAAGCCGCCGTGTCGGACACCCGTCCCGCAGCCGCCACAGGTGAGCCGACCAGCGTGGTTCAGCGCACCGCACCCGCACGCCCACGGCACAAACGGCATAAAAAAAGCGCCGCCTCTGCGTGGGACCTTGCAGGTGCGACAGGAGGACCAGATGGAGTAGTTGAAGTCGTCGCAGGCCTCACAGTGCCAGAGGTAAAGCGGGGGCTTGATGGGGTTGGCTGCGTAGCAGTGTGGGCAGTGCAGCGCGTTCGGCGCGTAAGTCTTGTGGCAGTGCGGACACTCCATCGTGCGCGACTGGGCGCCTCGCTGCACCGCGCACCGCACACAAACACCACGCGTGTCCTTCACATCGCCGCATGCACCGCAGAGGGAGTGGCCGGCGCGGGTGGCCGCCGCCAGACGCGGATTGGGCTGCCCGCACGAACAGGATTGCACGCCGCACGGCACTTTGTGCTCCTGCCCGCACGCCGCGCACTTCCACGACACCCCAGACGAGCGCAGGCAGGCGGTACACCGCTTCGAACTGCACGGCAGTTCCTCGCCACATCCGCACGCCCACCAAAACAGAATCGGGCCGCCAAGTTTGAAGCGGTGGAGGGCGCGGGCCACGACAGGGTTTGCGTGAATGTCGACCCCCGTCACGCGTCGATCGCGGAGCAGCTTCTCCAACGCAGTGAGAAGTTCTTGCGCGGCACCGGTGGCCGTTGCGCCGTGCATCTCCCAGAGGTCCGTCAGGGTGGTGCCGATCCCGTCGAGCAGCCAGAGAAAGTTGACGTTGTCTTGTTCGTACAGAAACGTACAAAACTGATGCACGGCGTGGGCGGGGGGCCCTGCGCCGATCGCCCCGGAGACGAGCCGCGTCACTTGTAGAAACCCCTGCCGGTCCAGTGGCACGGTGTGACCGCACCGCCCACACAGGTGGTACGCCTCTAGCAGGCGCTGATAGTCCTCGTGCCGTGGTGGGAGGGTGAGGGCGGCCTTGAGCAGGAGGACCCAAATGGCACGCAAGTCCGCGGCGTTGCGCCCAAAGAGGCGAAGAGCATCAGCGGCGACCCTCGTCATCTTCGCCCAGCCCTCCCTCGCCTTATCCGCCCCGCCCGCCACGCTTGCGTCGAGCAGCGCACCGAGCAGCTGGACATAAAAAGATGACGGCAGCTTCGTCTCCGCCGACGGCGCGGCGCGCATAAGAGCGCAGAGGCAGTCGTAGAGCAGGAACCCCTTCACACTTTTCGTGTAGACGCGCGCCCACTTCTTCATCAACGGCGTCCAGCGCACGGCGAGGACGTCGAGGGCCGGTCCTGCCCCGGCGGCATTGACGCCGCTGTCGCTCCTACCCACCCCCACCGCCGGCAGCACAACCGACACAAGCAGGCGATGCAAGTCGTCGAAGGTGCGCTCGCAGAAGAAGTTATCGTTATTCAGCAGGGCGTGCACGGCCCTTTGAAAAACTTGTGGGGTAAGTCCTGCAGGGCACGAACGCAGCGCCGCGACGAGCACCACGCGCAGCACTTCCGGCGAGCACGGGACCGACAACAGAGTCCACAAAACATCACCCGTACAGCCATCACGCATGCGCTCCAGCTCTCTCGAGACCAACAAGCTCGCATTGGGAGACGGAAAGAAGAGGAGCTGAACGAGACGTATTTCGTCTACGAGGCGACGTTGCTGCGGCGGCAAGGCCAGCATGCGAGACACACTCCGCCGATAGGGCTCCACCATCGCGAAGGCGGCCGTCACACAGCGCAGACGTGTCGCGGCCATGCTGCCGCCACACGGGTTCCACACGGTGAGCTGCTGAAGCACGTCCGGCGTCTTCGCGAGAGACTCGAGTATTAAAGTGTGAGACGCCGCGAGGGATCGCAGAGCAGGGTGCGCGGCGTAGGTCAGCGTGAGGCTTTGAAAGGGCAGCCACAGCACCGCAGCACCGTCGCTGCCACGTCGCGCGCTCGGGCTGACGGTCACGTGCACATCATCAACCAGTTCACGCGTAAGGAGAAAACGATCAGCGGTGTCATCCGAACTCGAAGGAAGAGACGGAGGGAGCTTTGACGACGATGGGACACGTTGCTGTCGAAGACGAAGAAAGAAGTGGCGGGGAGGGGTGCTACGTGTGAGAGGGGAGCGTATCCACATATCGCTGCGGTGTGCGCGCTCTACCTCTACGAGGTCTAAGATGCAGACATGGGCCACCGTGCTTCTCCACACACGCAAAAACAAGCAGAAGAAACTGTGAAAGTCTACTGTAATGGAAGTGACCGATAGAGCGGCTTGGCGCTTCAACGGAGAACGTGCGAAATGAAAGAAAACGTTTCTTTCAGCCCAACAAGAAAGAGAAAAACAAAGAACAATGAAGCAAGTCGAAAGCGCCACGCTCCTCAATAATAATAAGAAAAAAATGGCGACGAAGCGTCAGTGGACTTTTCCTTGTGAAGTGGACGTCAGTGATGGAAGAGAGGAGGGAGGGCACCTCCGCTTCTTTCGTTGCGGTTCGCTGAGATGGGGAGAAAAAGAGGAAAAGATGCAAGGCGTGAAAAGAGAAGAAGAAGAGGTAGCTGGACACCACGAACGCAAGAGGATAAATCGTCGTCTTGTACATGAATACACACACGCACACACATAAGCCTACTGAAGCCATTAACATCGGTATCGATACGATGCAGGGCGTCAGCACTGCTAGACGGACTAATTTAGCTTTCACAACTTTGCCGCACTCCCACGATGCTTTCATGCGCTTCTCTTTATGCCGGTTCTTTTTGGATGCAGAATAGTACTTGACGCTGCCCCTTCCTTGGTGCGATACAAGCGGAAGAAAACCGCCACTGCAGGTGCTCCGTGCAGCGTCGTTCGCTACTTCAACCACGGTTCTTTCTTGTTACCTTCAGTAGAAGGTACTCGGCCGTTGCCTCGCTGCTGGTCACCGCGCCTCCACTTATGGTCGGTGAAGAATAACCTAGTCATGAAAACAGTCAATGGAGAAGGAAGAAGTACGGATATATATAACAATGAAGACAATGAAGACGTGTATGTTGAGGTGATGAAAAGTGGAGGGGAAAAAAGGACTGAAAAGCAAACGACGCGGTCGAAAAGCCAAACGCAACGAAGAAACAAACAAACAAAAACACCAAAACAGCGAACTAACGAATACAGCTGATGTGATGGCGACAATGACGCAGTGTTGATGGCAGCAAAGTGAGAAACACCTACTTGTGAAAGGAAAAGAAAAAATAGATAAGAGAAAACAACGAATTTACGGGTGCAGCGGCGCTATCATCTACCATCACATAAAAGTCTAGTTTTGAAAGAGGTACCCCTATCACTCTTTTTTTTTGGCATTCTACCGCTGCCTCTCTCGCTCTCTCGCTCTCTCGTACGCCCGCGCTCTCGTCACTTCGGCGTTACATCGGCACGAAGAGCATGCCCACAATGGCCAGCACCTCAAACACCCACGCCGTCACCATCAGCCCAAACGAACCGGCGTAGCTGTAGCTGTAGCTTACGCTACCATAGGGCAACGAGAGGCAGGTGCCCTGGTTGTACGCGCCGGCCACGCAAGCCCATGAGATGAGCATCGTCAAGCACGCCACGCCGTCCAAGATGAGCACCACCAATGGTCGTTTGAAAGCGTTCAGCGTGCTTAGCAGCAGAAGAATAAATGCGGCAACCGTGACAAAGATCGATATAATCGCGAAGGCGGCTGCACCGCCCATGTTCGATTTAATGCCGCACTTGAACGCGGACGAAACGCGATGTGCACCACACTCCTTCCATCCAAACATCGACGCGCATCCGCTGGCACGAGCGTTTTTGCGAGCCTTGAAGACATCTACTGGTGTCGCGACTACCACGAAGAGGACGATCAGGAAGTGAGTGATGGCCAGCGCGAGTGGGAGATGACGAAAACATCGAGAGGACTCGAGCTTGTCCCCCATACGTTGATACATCATGGCTTGAAATGAGAGCGAAACACGCTGTTCTTTTTCTTTTCGTGGTAATGCACGTATAAGTGTTGTTGAAGCAGGTGCTATGCCGTGAGCGAAATCAAAGGAAAACGTTGCGATCACTAACGGCGATTTCCCCTCTTTGCCTTCAAAAGCTCCGGTGCGATATCTGTTGCCGAGAGCACAGGCACATGAACGAGTTTATTACGAATAAGAGAAAAAAGGAAAGCGTGAAAACCCAAAAGAAAGTCGAACAGGAGGCGTGTTCTGGCAGAACGATGTATGTTTTTCATTTTTTTTTTACTTCATACCGGAGTGCACATTACAGGCTAAAGCACTCCGTCTAGCGCGAATAATAATAATAAGCGCTTTGGCGTCTTCGATGTGCTGCACCACGAAAAGACGTGGGTCCGATTTTCGTTCTTTTGTGCCCCACTACCTGCGATAACGTGCGGATCTCGCGTTCTGCGGGTAGACCCGTGGCCATTCGTGTCTCTACCGCCTCATTGCACGCTGTTTTGAACACTTGTCGAACTTGAAGGCAGAAGCGGTGATGCGAGTAGGGGGAACTAACGCGTCGACAAAAAAAAGAGCAAAAAAAGAAACACGAGTGTGTGCGCACTCGTGAGGGTTGCGCATGATCGCCCGGAAAGCGGCCACGCAAACGTGTCCGCTCACGCCAATTCACGTGAAGAGCAACATGCCAAAACAACAACAACAACAGAAGGACACGCTGATATAGTCTTCACGCGGCGAGCAGGCGAGTAACGCACGGCAGTCCACTCCGACTTGTAAACGCTGCTAGCCCGGCCTGCTGCTCTTGCGGAAGGAAGTCGTGCATAACATCTTGTATGACGGCCTGCATCACATACCGCGACGATCCTTCCGGCAGCGTCTCCAGTTGCTGCAGAAACACATCTAACGAATGCAGCAGCGACGCTGCTTGGGCCGAGTCAGCGGACTTGTGTGTGCAGAGTTGGCGCGTCAGTGCCTTTGCCTGCTCTGCGGCGCGTCTTGCCAGCTTGTCGCGGAAAAGTGCGAGTCCATCGAGAGCATCCGACGTCGCAAGGACGCTTCCATTTCGGCTGCTTTTGCCCTCTCGGTCGTTGACGGACGTCGCTGCACCGGCGGCAGAGGAGGTGGAGGTGACGCTCTCGCGCAGCATGCCCAGCCAGTCCTCCGCCGCCGTCGCCACCACCTGCACACTGGACACGCACCACTGCAGCTGCAAGACCGTGCTCCACGAGCTATGTCCCTCACGACGATCCTCGACCTCGGCAGAATCCAACGCCGCCACCGCATGCGCTTCCACCACTTCCAGAAAGTGCGAGAGGACCGGTTCCACCGTCTTGCGCCACAGCAGCGCGGCGTAGGTGGACTCCACCACGAAAAGGGTGTTCAGCAAACGACGCAGGAACGCCTCGAGAGCGCGCACCATGTGAAGGCTGCACGTGTATAAGGAAGAGGGCGTGCAGGGGGCGTTGAGGGCCAAGAAGGACCGCCTCCATAGCCGGGCAGCGCCGTTCTCCAACGCTGCGTTTGCCATCTCTTCTCCGGCGCGTGCGTAAGACAGCACCACCTCCTCCGTTAAAAGATGCTCGAGAAGCAGCTCTGTCGCCTCTCGGCAGAGACGGCCTTCTGCGCGCGCGACAAAGTCTAAAATTGCGTTGATAGTGACGACCACGTAGTCCTTGCTGCGCCACAGCGGCGAGTGCGGCTGCCAGCCGTAGCAGCTCTGAAAAGCCACCACGGCTGCTGCGCTGAAGGCGAGCTGACCAAGATGGTCGAGGAGGTGCAGGAGAGAGGCGAGCGAGGTCTGCACGAAGGTGGGGGTTGGTGAAGACGATGACGGTGCTTGTGGAAGGGAGGATACGTCCACCCACGAGTCCTTGTGGATGCTCCGCTGACGCTCCACGCAGTCCGACAGAAACGCAAAGAAGTGCTGCGGTTCGTGGAGCGCGGCGGTCTCACGGCCAGCGCAAAAGTGATAGCGCAGCTCCCTCTCAAGCGGTGCGACGGTGACACTCATATAAGGAGACAGCAGTTGTTCCGTGACGGGGTCGCTGGCGTATCGGCCGTACCACGCCACCGCGTTTGTCTCCTTCAACGTCGGCGAAGGGAGGTCGAAGGCTGTCACTGCTGGTGAAGCTGGTGGCGCAGCTGCACGGAGTGCGCTAGGGAGCAGGTGGAGGTACGCACGGCGCAATAATCGCGTTGTCTCTGCGCTGGGGTCGCTTTCCCCCTTCTCTGGCGTTGAAGACACCTGTGAAAGATGTAGCAGTAGGGGAAGGAGGGTGCGTGTCGCAAGCCCGGGTACGTGCGCGGCCGGCGCGACTGCACCCGAAGCGCGCCACCCGTTGCGCGTCCTCGCGTGATCGGCGGCGTTGAGGAGGTCTTGAAAGTACTGCGTGCATTCGGAGGTCAGTGCGTCCACGGCACTGATATCAGGCGGCATACGAGAAATCACATCCGCCCATTTCTCTTGCAAGTCGGCGGAACGCTGTCGCTGCTGCTCCGTTTGTCGCTGCTCCACCTTAGCCCTGGTGGTGTGCGCCGTGTGCAGCGCATCTATGCGTGTCAGTACGACGGAGAGATCTGCATCTGAGTCGATGGTGAGTTGGTCGAGAAGGGCATCCAACAGCGCATCGTCGCTGGGTTGAAAGGTGTCAAGCTGCGTCATGAAGTCGGTACTGCGGCGCGCAAATAAGTAAACGCATGTGCGCCGTAGAGGTGATGAGGATTCAGCTAATAAGAGAACAAGACAGAGCAGCAAACAGTTGAGCTGGAAGTAGGCTTTGGTGCAGGAAGAAGAAAAATAAAAAAAACTGACTTCATCTCCAAAAAGAGGACATATGCCTTTGCCGCGTACTTGCGCGTTATCTTGGCGACTGCACATCAGTAAGATCATTTTGTTTTGTGTCTTCACTACTCTTGACACAAAACAAAATGATAGGCCTTCGCGTACACCGATGGTGTCGCCCCCTCCCTCCGTGGGGAAAGCTCCATCGATGTAGCATGTCGTGAGAAACAACAGCACGCTCGCTGAATAAACAGTAAAGGAAGCTACGGGGAAAAGAATCCTTCAGAGGCGCGTAGGTTTAACAAAGACGCTAGTTTATTATTCGTTGTTGCTGTTGATCAGTATTTGTTTTTCCTTTATTGACTACCTATAAAGAACAAGCCTTGACACTAGAGCGTGTGTAGAAAACCTCTGAATAAAAATCATAGTACATCCGTCTTACGAGCGATTGTGACAAAGCAAGCCCTCCTTACCTACTAAACAACACGCGACCCACAAACACACACACACACACACACACATACGGTGGAGGAAAGAAAAAAATCGATACGGAGATGGATGTACCCGTTCGCTGTTTCCTTCCTTCTTCGAGTCGAAGCTACCAGTTCTTTCCCTCTTACGCTCACGCAAATGCTACACACGTGGCGATGGGAAACACACACACCACGAGGAAACCACGTGTCTTCGTAATCGTGGAGCAACAAAAAGGAAAAAAAGGAGCACTGTCGCCTCTCCGGCGAAAGGGAAAAAAGCGTACGTGAACCACTCTCTTCTATCTTTCCCTTCCTTTTCGTGACCTTTGCTATCCGCTTAGTACGGGTTATTGCGGTCTTCATCATTGCGGCGGAAGCGGTAGGGGCGGTAATTGAGGTTGTTCTCCACGAGCATCAAGTTGCGGTTGCGCTGTGGCCACCACGTCATGATCTGGTACATGGGCGTCCACCACGGCAGGTACCACGGCTTCAGCCAGTTCTCCTTCATGTGGAGCAGCCTCTCCACCATGGAGTGACGATCCCAGTACACGGTGAGGAACTTCAGGTTGGGCCGGAAGTGATCCACCGGGTTCGACCAGAAATCGCTGGTCTCCTCCGCCACAGCAGGGGCTCGTTCCGAGGACATTTTGGTGTGGCGACGACGGTATTCGTATCCGCTGCAACAAGGAAAACAAAACCACCAAAAAGGAAGGGGTGTTGCGGAGAAGCGCACAAACGTGTGGACTGTGCGGGAAAGGAAAGGACGTGTTACGGTGCCGTGGTGGAGACGACGGCGACAACGCAAGTGAGTTCGCAGAAGCGACCATGCAAAAAACAAGAAAGATTCAATTCGAGAAAAAAGAAGAAGAAGAAAAGATAGAAAAGGAGGATTTGAGGCAAACAGGTGACGATCACCCTTACAAACAATATTTTTCTTTAGCATGCAAAGCTCGGCGCCAAAGCTATACATACATTTGCAGCATTGGCAAAGCTACTGGAAACAATAAATATGGAGACATAGGGAAGATATGCCAGTCTCCGATTACGCGCGTGAAGGAATCTGTCTTTCTAAGGGAGCAGCACCGCATATTCTCGAGGAGAAGACCCTCTTTTTATTTTGATTTACTTCGTCACGATCTACCTTTGCTGATTAGTATTCTATGTTAGGTCTGAGAACAAGAAAAAAAACACAGTAATAATCAAGTAAAATATAGATCATTCTTAACCACGCAAAACGAACTGAAAAACAACAACAAAACAACCTTCATTACAAAATATACGATTTTTTCAGATATATTAGCATTTATCAAAATACGAAATTGCGCCCCGCGTGCACGCCCGCCGGCGGGAAAGCGTCACACCTCATCTGTGAGCGTCACCATCTGCTGAACCGAAAGCAAAGCACACACACCAACACACGCACACACACATATGCAAAGAAGAGATACCAACAACAAGAAAACAGTGCAGGTGGTGCGTGTCCACCATCGCATTTGACCGCCGGTGTAGAGTTGGTGATCCAACTGAAAAATCATATAACAGTAATAATAATAATAATAATAATAATAATAAACGAAGTTGCGTGGCATTCACAGACACCCATTGCGGTGCGACCTCTTCACACCGTTGTCACCGAATACGCATACACAAATCAAATGAACGACGTGTTGTCCACCGCTGTGTACGTGGCCTGAATTGCTTTCCAATGCAGGAGAAGAAGGAGGGAAGAGAAAAACAAAGAGAGAAGAAACCAATTAACGCACCATGTAAACAGCCCCCATTAAACTTAACGCCGCACGTTCGAGGGAATCGGCGCCGTTGGAAACGTCGGATTGCCGCCCGTGTAGCCCATGGGGCTGGAGAAGCCATGCGAGCCGCTATTCACCTGCGTCACCGCCTGCGCGCTGCTCGGTGTGGCCGACGAGGCCGCATCCTCGCTCAGACCGTACAACACACCGTTCTTATCCACCGGGGCGGCACTGTTGAAGCTGTCTCGCAACAGCTTGAAGTAGCAGTGGCCGGTCAACAGGGAATCGCTGCCAGCCTGGTGCGCCGTGCCGAAGCGCCGCAGCTTCAGACTCTCCGCTAAGAAGTCTAGTCCAAACGAGTGCGACACATCCGTGAAGCGAAGGAGGTACTTCAAGTCAAACATGCTAGGGAACAGGGCGTGGAAGGTCTGCAGGAACTCCTCTTCTTTCTCCGGCAGGTCTTTGTTGCACACTACCTTCGTCAGGTAGCCAAAGTCGTAGCCGGCGTGGAAGGCCAACCAGCGTACATTTGGGTTCAGCACCAGGCCGCTGGAGATGAGCAGCTCCGCAAAGTGCGTCACCTCAATGCCGTAGTCGTTGAAGTAGTCGAAGTTGATGCCGCCGTAGCGCAGCAGCTCGATGCTGTCCTGCGCGTACACGTCCTCGTTGAGGCTGAAGCGGAAGTTAAACTGCCAGGTCGAACAATGCTCCGGCACCTCGCCCCGCTCGTTGAGGAGAGTGATACCTAATTGGATAATCTTGAGCAAGTTGACGTTGCAGCGCAGCGTCTGATAATAGAACTCGTGCGTCGTCTTGAAGCTGCCGACCGGCTTCGCCACCACGCCAGGGAACTCCGTGTCCATCGAGACAAAGGGGTAATCCTTGAGGAGCGAGCGAATCATCACAAACTCCTCCTCCAGGTTGTCCGCCCACACATCGCGGATCATCGGAGACTTGCTAAGGGACGGCAGCCTACTCTCCGGGTTCCACGCCGGCGCGTTGGCGGTCATCGTGTACGGCTGCGGGGAGAATCGAGACGCCATTGCTAGTTCTTCTTCCTTTTTAATCAGTAGTATTCGCACACACGCACACACACACGCACACACACAAGCTAATGATTAATGATCTCTTCGGAAGAAAAGAAAAAAAAGGCTTTACATGCAAACTTGTAAAGTTCTTTATTACTATTTTGTTTTTTGTTTTGCTCCAATGCACGTGAAGGACGAAGAGAAGAGGAGGAGAAAAGTAAATGAGTTGGCGAAGCGCGATTAAAAGACCGCGGCGGTTGCCGTTCCTTTTGGAATTCCAAGAAAAAAAGAAAAGGGGAAACATACACCGTCACTTGCGAAGCGGATGAACACAACTTTGGGCAAACGTGAGAAGACTCGAGACGCTTACAAGCGGCACGTACGTCGCCGTCATCACGCCCCATGCAGGTGCATCCCTCACCCGACACGTGCAATGGGAAACGCACACCATAAACTCCTTTTGTTTTAGCGGAGTGACAAAAGAGAAGACTTTGCAGTTACTCCTTTCGGGTGTTTGTATACGCTATTGTAACATCGAAATAGAGTCAAGCCAGAAGAGAATGAAAAAAAAAAAGCGAGTCTTTGATTAGTGTGTGTGTATTCAACATCGCAATGCCCTTATAAATAATATTAATAAAGTGAACATGGAAGAACGAGTACGTTAGTGTACATCCTCGGGAATCTCAACAACTACAACAACAAGAGAAGAAACCAAGACTAAGGGGCAACTGTTGCAACAACCTAAATGACACACCGTCAGTGTCGTCGAATGACGTCACCACAGTGTCCAGCGCACGAGACAGAATATACATTTACACGGTAGCGAAACACCACAACAGAAAAGAAATACACCCCAACACGAAACGCGACGGCCTAGTTCGTCGCGCGAGATTGGTGGCCAAACTTGCCCACTACACGAAAAATCCACTGCATATCATCTGTGTCTATCACAAGCGTGCCTTCCACCTGCGGAATACGTGAGGAGGGCTTCACCGTCAGCTGCATACTCGTCGCCGTCGCCGCGCCTCGCTGCCCGGGAACAAAAGGCAGCAGCACCCCGTGCGTCGGCGTCACGCTCAGATCCTTCGAACTCTCCGCGGTAAAGTAGGCAAAGAACGGGGAGCGGTAGGGAAACACGTTGTGCAGGTCAAAGGTGGCGGCGGTGGTCTCCTTGTACTCGCCGTGCAGCACAATCGTGTCGTCTGGCGCGGCAGTGGTGGCTTCAAACTGCACGCGGTACCGCCACACCCCACCGTCCACGCCTTGAAGAACGATCCAACCCGACCCAATGAAGGGCCGCAGCGGGAAAAACCTCAGCTGTACCTCAAAGCCGTCCGGGTAGGGGCTGGGCGTCGTCAACACGCACGACACACTCGTCGCGGCGGTGTCACGGTAGCTCTGGTTCGCGTCCACCTCAAACGCCGGTGTGACGCCATCGGCCAGCTCCGGCGTCAGCCCGGGTGCGTGGAGGTACACCTTGTCCTCCCACTGCGTCCGAGCCGCACAGCGCAGCCGCAGCGGGGGCGACGACTGGCGGTACTCGCAGAAGCCTCGGATCGGGTAGACCCAGACCGCGTTGTACGCCCGGTCCGTCGCGCCCACCAGCGGCCGCACCTCGACCGTTGCATCGTCGCGCTTCACGAGTGTCGGGGCAAAGGCGACGGTGATAGGCGCTGCCGCCCCCGCCGCTACCGGACCAGGCGGCACCGTGCGCAGCGAGAAGGCCGGCGACGCGTTCTTCAGCCGCACCTCGAGCGCGGTGTCCTTGGAGAGGACGTTCACAAAGGGAAGGGTGACGAGCGCGGTGGCGCCGACGGTGCTGTTGCACGTGAGCGGCTCGGCGGGCAGCGGCGGGGCGCCCGTGCCGGTGCAGGCGTACCGCCAGCAGCCCAACTCCGGGTGGCGCAGTGTCACGGTGGCCTTCTGCTCGACACCCACCGTGTTGGGCACGTACACGAGATCCACGACGGTCTCCGCGTTGGCGGCCAGCACCACCCGTGCCGGCGTGGCGGTGTTGAAGGCAGAGGGATTGGTGGATTCGACCGTCAAGATGCAGCTGGCGTTCGTGCGGTTTGGCAGGTGCACCTGCATGATTTGCCTCAAACCGAGCGGAGTCGTCGCAAAAGGCAGAGGCTCCGGCGCCGCCTCCGTCACCTTCATACGCAGCTCATACCAGAACTCACCGACAACGTCGCTGACGAGGGAGAGGCGGCCCGTCGACTCACCGACCTGCGTCGGCACAAACAGAACGCCGTAGGTCGAGGCCGCCTTCGGCCCGAGCTGAAAGGTGTTCGCGCCGTAGAGACCAGCGCCGTAGCGCTGCACCTTGAAGAAGAGCGGCGTGTCGAGCGGGTTCGTCACCGTCACCTCCGCCACCATCGACGTCCGCACATCCGTCTTCAGCTCCACGGTGCCCTCCTTCTCCGGCGGATCGACGTGCAGCTGCACCGCGTACCACACGTAGCGGCCGTGGGGAGAAGTGAAGCTGACACGGCCGGTGTAGTCGCCGCCGACGGTGGGCTTCACCTGGATCGTGTAGCGCCGCGCCGACGCGCGCGGGATGACGAGCGTCGGCGACTCCCCTTCGCAGTAGGCAAGGTCCATCTTCACAAAGTAGGTTGCATCCTGGCTGACGATGTTCGGCACCATCAACTCCACCACCTCGTGCTCGCGCGCGCGGCAGTCAACGTTGACGATCCCCTCCGACAGCGGCGGCTCCGCTTTGCCCTGCAGCGTGTACGCGTGCTTCTGCCCGGTGGTGCTGTTCAGCAACAGGAGGGAAGCCACGTCACTCTCCGTGGTGATCCAGGTGGGGGAGTACTTGATGGTGTAGTCCTTTGACCGTCCGCTGGGGACGCGAACGTCGTGCGGCCCGCTAAAGTGCGAGGAGCCCTCCAGGGTCGCGGTGAAGAACCAGTCGTTGGCGGTGTGGTTCGTCAGCGTGATTTGCTGCGCGATGGACTGACGTGCCGGGCAGACAAACTGCAGCTCACGGCAGTCACCCTTCGGCACGCATTCGCCGACGAGCCGAAGCAGCCGCACCTCCACCGCAGAGAGGAGAAGAACGAGGGTGCGGTAGACGCCGACACTCTGCGGACAGAACGTGAAGGGCAGCGTCCCCGTCGCGGCCGGGCTCGTTGGCGACTCGTAGGAGTTGATATCGGGGGAAAAGAACGGGTTTGGCCCTTCCATCTCGTCGTTCACAAAGTACACGGCGTAGGTGGCGCCGCTGAGGAGGTGGCCGAGGTCGGTGCGCTGCGTGCGGTGGGCGCGGTCTTCGTACACCTTCAGGCAGCGCTCAAGAGCGGCGTTCGTGCTTTTCACAGAAAGGACGGAGGCGCACTGCTCACCTTGCTCGACGCGCAGCTCCACGCCGGCGTCGACGGGCTTTGGCCACCCGCACGTCGCCTCCACCGCGTACGTAAACTCACCCTCCTTTTCCTCGTGGAACGTCAGCAGCAGCCGGTAGGTGCCCCTGGACAGCGGCAGGAAAGAAAATGGCAGTCGCGTCGTCTCGCCACGCCGCAGGGACAAAACGTCCGACGCGACCACAAACGGCGTGTCGTGCCCCGCCCGCCAGTAGGATTCCTGCTCTTCGTACAGCCACGGCATGGCGGGGCTCCTCGCCACGTCAGACTCGCGCTCCGCAGCGGGCAGCCGTCGCTGCGACACGCGGAGGCTAACGACGCAGTTCACCGGGAAGGGGTTCTCGATCTGCAGTTCCGACTGCAGGGGCTCGTACAAGGGGGTGCTCACCTGGATGGTGCGCAGCGGCTCCGCAGTGGGGGCTGCCGTCAGGAGGAAGACAAACGGCATCCGCTCCGCCGGGGACGCCTGCGGGGAGCGGTCAATCAGCGCGCACTGCCCTTGCAGCGGCCGCTGCGTGCGTGGTACGACGGTGAAGGTGAGCGTGGCGCTGCTGCGCGGACTGACGACCAGCTCCTCCGCCGCCGGCCGAAAGGGGGAGTTGTCTGGCAACAGCACGCGGTAGTGCCGCTGCTCCTCACTCGTGTTGTCGACGCTGATCGTCTCAGTGAGGGTGGTAAGGGCACGGCCGGAGAAGCACACCGGCGTGCTAGCGGCAAACTTCGGAAGGTACAGATACAGGTGGGTGAGGAGCAGCACGAGACGCGTCGGAGTGGCCGAAACAAAGGCCATGGGTGTCGGCAACCCAGGGACACCCAGGAGGTGTAGCACGTGCATCAGCACGACGGCAACGGCGGTTGGTTCGTGAGCCCCGCCACCCGCAGCGACGCTGGCTGCGTCGCCACCACCGCCGCCGCCTGCGGTGCCAGCAGCACCCGTGATCCCACCAGATGCAACGGCAGCACCCGCCGCGCCCATCACGTTCAATAAGCCTTCGCGGACCTGCGAGGCTAAAAAGGGGACGTAGGCCAACACCACCGCCAGGAGTCGCCGCGCATCACGCAGATCCTCCAGCTGCTGCGGGGGCGCCGTCACGTGCAGCATGTCGCGCACGTCCGACCTCTCCGTCTCCACAAACGTTGCCGTAGCCGCCTCCACCCAGCGCAGCAGCACCGACTCCTCTTCACTGTAGACGTTGCTGCGAGCGAGTGTCCGGCGGAACGGAGCAGACGCCCAGCGACCCATCAACGCGGGAGGTGCGACGATGGCGGTGCCGCGCACTTGTGACACGTAGAAGAGACGCACGGACTCCCGCATCATGACCAGCCACGACGCCGTAGCACGCTGCTGGAACACGGTCGCCAGCACGCTCTCTTCCACCATTCCTGCCGCGGCTGCTGCTTCCAGATGCTGCACTTCGCGGTCAATCACTTCTCGGTGGTGCTCCGTCATATACTCCAAATAGGCGTCCAGTGGGAGGAGGTAAGGAAGTTCGATGTCGCTCAGACACCCGCCGCAGTTCCGCAGGTAGCTCACGAGGGTATCGAGGGACCGCAGCTCTTTAGGGACGGCGTGCGACGCTGACGATAGTGCGACATCCGCCGCGGTGCTGGAGAGGTTGTGCACCTGCTCAGCAGCACCACCACCACCACTTGCACGCTGCTTCTTGCGCCGCCCCGAGGTGCCCGAGGCGGTGGTGAAGGCCGCAGCAGCGGAAGTGGCAGTAGTCGCAACATCAGTCTCCGTACGTCGCGGACGCTTGCCTGTAAGTTGCCCAATCATATCCGCGATGAGACCGCCTCGAGAAATCTGCAGCGCCTCAATGATGTCGCCCACCGGGGTGCGGCACACGTACACGTTCCACCACGCCGTCAGCCACTCCTTCTCGCCCTCCCAGTCCACCTCCTTCTCCACGACGTCGACGAGGTCGTGCGCCGATCGGCCGCGACTGGTGCTGCGCTCCGCCGGCGCTAACGCGCACAGAATACGTGCTGCCCCTACGCTGTTGCTGTTATCGAGGGAGGTGGCATCGCTGTTGTCGACCCACGTGTACGGCGTGTCCGCCGACGCCGTGATGGAGGGCGTAGACGTCACGTAGGCGACAAACATCTCCGTCGACACGATCGAGTTGACGGCGCTGCCGCAGATGTCGATGTCAACAGATCCGCCGGCATCTGTGCTGAGGCGAATCGAGGAGCGCACGGTGATGGGCACTGGGCTACAGAAGGTGAAGGTGACAGGCAGCTCGTCGCGCGGGGCACGGCCCATGACGTGGCCCTGTGGAAACGACACTTCCAACGGTGGCGCACAGGTGCCGGTGTAGTCGACGCGAATGGAGTCGTAGCCCTCGTTGTAGAGTAGCACCGTCGCCTGGACGGCCACGCCGAGCGGGACGGTGGGAAACATGAGCGCGGTCGTGCTGCTGCGCACGCGGGGGTCGATGGCCGACGCCGTCACTTCGCAGACACCGCACGGCGCGTCGCTGCCGTCCACCGTAGTGTTGTCGTGCCCCGCCTCGTCGCCCACCTTCAGCTCCAGCAGCGCCTGCAGCGTCCCTGCAGTGGAGGGCAGAAACGTGAGCGTCACCGCCTGCTCGTCTTCGCCGGGTTTGAGCACGCCACGACTGGGCTCCACGAGCATGTTGTGGTCATCGACGTTGCGCTGCAAACGCCACGGCACCGGCGGCTGCTTGTGCAAAGGGGCGCCACCGCCTGGAGTAGAAGCGGAGCTGCTGCTGTGGTTGCTGGAACTCCTGTTCCCCGTCTGCACCGCCGCAGCAGCAGCAGCAGCGGCATGACCGCTGACACTCTCCTTGCCGCGGCGGACGTAAAAGATACGCGGCGGCGGTCGCTGACCGACCACCACCGGCGCGAACGTCACCGATGACGCGCTGAGCACCACCGGTGGGTTTTGCGCCGCGGCCTCCAGCATAAAAGGCGGCAACGGGTGCAGGTCGTCGGCGCCAATCTGGTGCCACCGCACCGCACACCGCGCCGTCTCGGACGGCTTCAGCGGGTTGTACGAAAGGCAAAGGGCGAAGTCCGTGTTGGGCGGCACGACGACGATGTTCGCACGCGGCCCGGGCGGCGCGGCAGTGGGTGTGACGGTGACGAGAGCGGCAGCAGTCAAGGTCGCAGCCTCAGCTACGGAGAGGGAGCGCATCGACTGCAAGCGCGACTGCGCGATTGAGCGCCGCACCGCGTCCGCGGCCTCGCCTAATTCGGACGCGGTGAAGCCTTCGCTTTCGTCCAATTCCATAACCGGCGAGTCCAGCGTGTAGTGCCCGCACGCTTCCAAATTGATGCTCACCGCCGCCGCGACTTCCATCGTGTTGCGCAGTACCACCGAGCGGGACTGCGGGCAGCCCACGTAGACCTCGCCGAAGCGCAGCAGCACCTCGCTCTGTTCCTTGTTTCCGGACATGACAATCAGCGGCGGGGCTACCACTGTCGCCACAACGTGGGCGGTGAGGGGCTTGCGCATGCCCACCACCATGCACTCCACTGTGTGGGCCACGGCGCCGGCGACGGACTGCCGCACCCGCACCGTCAGCTCTTCCGCTTCGCCGGTGCAGACGCGGCCCTGCGCGGGGGTCACCGTAACCCACGGCGGAAGACTGCCCACCGAAAAGTACGCGTTTGTCCTGCCCTTGTTCACCAACACCAGCGTCCCGGTCGTCGACACACCGGCTGCAATGCGGCCGAGCGACAACACCCCCGCCACCGCTGCCACCTCCTTCAACGCTGCGGCACCGATGGCCGACTCCTGCACTGTCATCTGCGGAGACGGGCCCCACACACACTTTGTCGCCGCCACTGTCCCGACAAGCGACAGCACCTTGTTCTCCACTGCGCCTTCCACCTCCAACAGCGCCTCACACGCCGCCTGCGATGTACCGACAGCGGGGCTGAAGCGGAGGAGGATGCTGCGCTGCTCCCCGGCATCTAAAAGACCGGCGCGCGGCTCCACGTCAAACTCGCAGGTCGCCGGCAGATTCCAGCGATAGCTCGCAGCGCAGTTCCCGCTGTTGCCGATTGTTACCTGCGCCGTGCACACCGGGTCCTCGGCCTGGCCCAGCAGCGCCATGTGCACCTCCTTCTGCGAGAGCGTCACCTCCACCGGGACCACCTCCGCCTGGATATTGAAGCGCATGAAGTGCTGCTGGTTCACCGCCACTCGCATCACCTGCTGGAAGGTCTGCACGGTGCGGGAGCAGAGGTGCACGTCGAACTGCGCCATGCGCTGCGCCGGGACCACCTGGCTGGGCGGGTCGACCGTCACGAGGCCGTCGGCGTCCGTCGGCACCGCCGCGAGGATGGAGGCGGCGGTGCCATTGAAAATGAAAAGCGACGCCACGACGTCGGCGTGCACCGTGACGCGGCCAAAGTCGAGCGCCTTCAGCGGCAGCACGACGTTCAGCACCTCCATCGGCGTCAGCTCTCGCCTGCAGTCGTGGCGCTCGTGGGTGGTGGCGGGGGTGGGGTGGTAGCGCCGCTTCACCAGAGAGCGTGCCCCGAACACGGGCGGGGCAACGTGGTTGCTCTGCCGCGCCCGTGGCCCAGCGCCGTCGGCGTGCAGGACACTCGGCGGCACCTCGAGCGGGAGGGATGGTGGCGTGAGGCCTTCTGCGGGGATCATGCCCAAGTCCACCGCGGCGGGCACAGCGGCCTCGTTCAGGGCACGCTCGTGCCGTGCGGTGCGGGCAGTCGCGTTGATGATGGAGGTCGCCTTGGCTGCGTCGTCGTCGTTGGCGATTCGGTGCACGGAGGTGCCGCGCAGGGTGACAGTGCGGGTCACAGTGTCGTTCGCCCTCAGCGTCAGCGGCTCCTCATAGGGGCCGAGGCGACGAGGGTGGAACTCAACGTTGACATCGACGGTGCCGCCGGCCGCCACCACGCCGCGTGCCGGCGTCACGGAGAAGTGGGAAGGCGGGCGCAGCTCAAAGCGCATGGGTAGATGGGCCACCGCGTTCGTGATGACAAGGCTGGACTGCTTTGAGCCTTTCATTAAACACGTCCCGAAGTCGATGGAGGAGGTGGAGAGCTGGACAAGCGTCTCGCACGACGTCCCGACGAGGCGGAAGTTCTGTGTCTGCTCCGTCTCGACAAAAAGCAGCGTGAAGAGGGCCTCGTAGCGGCGCTTCTCGGCGGCCTCCTCGGACGTCTTCGCCCCGGCTCTTGCTGCGGTGGCAGCGGTAGCCGTTGCGGCGGCGGTGAGCGAGGTCGCCATCGCCGTCGCTGCTGTGGCCGTGCTCCACCCCGTGCGTCGCGGCTGCAGCACTGGACAGAACTTCGCCGTCACCAACTGACGCCCCTGCGGTGGCAGCCGGCCCTCATTTGGCGTAAAGTGGAACGGAGCGGCCCCTTCGTCGGAGAGGGTGTGGGCAGTCTGGATGGCGAAGCTGATCGCCTGCGACCCGCCGTTCACCACCTCCAACTGGTGCACCTTTGTGTTGCCGGCGTACGTCTCTGCAAACTCAAGCGAGACAACCTCCTCGTGGGTGCGGGTGTCGATAAGGCGGCTGCGGCAGTCCATCACCTCGGCGACCACCTCTAGCATCGCCGGCAGACGCCGTCCGTCCACCTCGACCGCGACCTTCCACGTATACGAGCCGGGAGGGAGGGCGTTGAGTTCAATGTTCACCGTCGTGCGGCTCTGCGCGACGGCGACGGCGGCGACGTTGCTAACGGAGATGCCACGCGGCGGGCTCTGTGTCTCGTTAGTGGCGGGCACCATAACAAATTGCACCTGGGCATCCTTTCGGCCCCGGTTGACCAGTGTGAGGGCGCGGGTCTGCGCCGCGTGTTGCTGCTCCACCTTTCCAAAGTCAATCAGCGACGGAAACTCCAGCTGCGGGACCCGGCAGGCGCTCAGCGGCACTTCGGTCCGCCCACCGTCGCTGCTCAGCACCGCCAACACGTCCTCGTAATCCGCCGCCTGGTGGGTGCTGAACTCAACCTCTAGGACGTGCGCCAGTCCAGGCGCCACCCGCACGGAGGCTGGATTGAGCAGGCGGAAGATGGAGACGTGCCGCGTTGGTGCGACAAAGCGAAAGGTGAGAATTTCTTGGCTGCGGTTGCGCACCTCAATCGGCATGACGTAGCTCGTATCCACATCGTAGTTGATGAACTCCGCGAGGGCAGGGGTGACTTCCACACGCGGAGATACGGAGGAGGAGGAGAGATCGGGGCCAGCGGCACTTGCACGCGCTGTCGTTGTCGTCGCCGTCGCCGCAGCGGCAGTGGTGGTGGCTCGCTTTGCTAAGTTTGGCTTCTTCGAAGTAGAGGTCTTGCTCGCGCGCGCCGGAGCCGTTGGCGCTAGCTGCGAGGGCATCTGCACAGATTTCGACTGACAGTAAAACACACACACACAAAAAAGAACGGAACAGGTTACGTGTGCTGTCTCTATACATCAACTGTTGAAGGAACCTGCGAGCAAATGCGTATATATATGTGTGTGTGGGTGTGCGTATGGATGGGCGTAGCCGTGGAAGGAAATGAACTCCTACAGGGCAGATCAAGTCCGGCGTCAACGCGGCCACGTACGCACTAAACAACGATGCTGCGCTGTATTCGTGATACGGCTGGGCTCATCGGCAGGCAGTTGCCAACAGAAATGTGTGCGCGTGTGCGCGGTTCCAATTATGGAGAGAGAAACGTGGAGAAAAGGAGAAGAGAGATACAGAAAAAAAAAGGAAAAGAAAGGACGCACCGCAATGAAGCGTCAAGCTCGACAACGGATCTTGAGCAGGAAGAGACTCTCGTGCGCGCTGAGTTGGAGAGAAGCGCCACTATTATCTTCGTATGTGCCGGACCTGCGGTGAGCTCTAACTATCAGAACTTCATGCAGCTTGTCGGAGAAAGGCGCTTTCGGGTCCCACACATCCCGGGAGCGGCAAATGGCGCCGATCACACCAGTGCTCCTGCGTTCTTCAAAGCCCTCTGACTTCACAGAGGAGGAAACCAACGTCCTCTTTTAACTATTATATCTTACGCCATTAATCTGCTTTTGCGGCGTATTAGAATGGTCAGACAAACAAAACAATCTAAACAAAAAGGGAGATTATTCTTTCGTAGTCGATTAGTCGATTAAAACGGACGCGAGGAAGGAGAAGCGAAAACCGCCCGCTCGACATAGCACCACCAACACGCACGCGAGCAGACGCCTTCACAGCATTTGAAAGTGCAATCACAAGTTTCCGTGTTCTTATTAATATTCTTTTCCTTCCGCTCTCACAGGGTTCGCTTGGGCAGGCGCGTAACTTGCAGTGGTCGAATCTCCACCTGACGCGACGTGGCGATCGGGTGCGCCTTGCCATCTCGCAAGGCCGCCTCCTTCGTCAAGGTCTGCGGGCTGCCCACGTGGGCCGACATCACGCCAAGCGAGTACGACGACGTCAGCGACCACTCCACAAAAGAGCGCATCCCGCTGATGGACTCTGCGATGGTGGCCTCGCACGCCTGCTCCTCTGGCGAGTACGCATTGGGGGCGTCGGCGTCGGCACGGCCGCCGTAGAGCACCGACACCGCCCTGTCTGCCACGGCGAACAGCAAACTCGTCGCCCCGAGACCGCCGTTGGCGAGGGCCGCCATCGCACCGGCACAGACGTCCGCCGTGTACCTCTTCTTCGCGAGCTCCGTCGTGAAGGCACCGCCCGGCGTGCGAAAGAAGGCGGCAGAGACGGCGGCGAAATTCGGCAGCCGCTGCAGCCCGCCGTGCTGCAAGGTGGGCTTCTCCGCCAGCAGCGTGGCCATGGCCAGCAGAAGACCCTCCTCCGGCTGCGGATGAAACTTCCGCACATTCAACAACTCCAGGACGGTGTAGGGGTGAAGGGACTGAGCAACGGCGGCGTAGCGCAGAGAGGCCAGTGCGTAGTGCGACGCGTCGCCCGTCACGCCGAGCTTCTCTGCCACAGCAGTCAGAATTTCATGATGTGGAGCCGAAAGCGTCGCACCGCCCTCTGCCGCCTCATGGACGTACACGGCGTCACGAACCACAAAGGAGACGCTTGGCGATGTGCCTAAGACGTACTGTTGGAGCTCCTCCTTGATGTGGCTGCTGCTGGAGGTGAGGACAGAAGTGGTCGTCATCTTCGCAGGTTTGGGCTGCTTTGCGGGTCGTTGCTGCTGCAGCAGCTGCGAGGGAGGGGCAGTGGCGGCTTCGACAACAGTCTGCTGCTGCGGAAGTGGCTGCTCTTCCATAGATTTCTGTTGCGTCGCTTTGATTGCTTCCGCCCGCTTCTCAAGCCAGTCACTCATCGTGGCCTCCGACGGCTCCTCCACCTCCTCTGGTACCGCTCCCGCTGCTGCCATCGTCGTTCCGGTCGTTGAAGGATTCACCTCCACCTTGTTGTTCGTACTACTACTCTTCTTTGGAGCCGCCGCATTTGTGCTGCCGCTGCTGCCGTTGCCCCTCACAACGTTCAAACTGCGACCTGCCAGCACAAACATCCCTGAGACGCCTCGCGCCACCGTCAGCCGCGAGTTGGCGTTCGTGCCTGCAAGAACTACCTCCTCTCGACTCGGGGTGGCCACCTCACGCAAAATGACGGTGGGTCCGGTGACCGTGTCGCACAGCCACACGTGCGTGCCGTCGCCGTCGCTGCAGATGTCCGTCGCAGAGTCCAGCGCCACGCCCGCGGCGCCGCTGACGGAGGTGGCGAGCGCGTCGGCGGACGCCCAGCACTCCAGCAGGTGGTGGGACGCGCTGCCGCCCGACAGCTGCAGCGAAAAGGACACCAGCGCCTTCGTCGCAGCCGTCTTCTTCGCCTCCGGCCCGGATATGGGCTGCAACAGCAGCAGCATCTCCTGGCGACCCCAGCGCACCGTCCAACCCTTCACCTTGGCGGGCGACGAGGGCAGCGGAACTCCGGCATCCGCCGTACGACGCACCACCACGGCCGACGACGAAGACGCGCATACGACCACGGCAGCGTACAGCCGCACCGCTGAGAGGCACATCACACACACCGTCTTCTCCGCGGCCGCCGCCCAGCACTCGGACGAGGTCACATCGATGCGAACATCGCGGCTGTCCGACCAGGCCGGCAGCGGGCAGACGCCCATTCGCGTCGCCGCAGAGGTCGTGGGATCGAGGAAGTAAAACAAGACGCTGCTGGCGGTCTGCAGGACCAAGATCGACTGGTAAAATATGCGCATCTCCTCCACCTTCTCTGAAATGGCGGAGACGATCTCGAGAGGGGCCGCCGCGGCGCCGTCCGTGGACTGCACGAGCACAGCGGAACCGCCATCTTTGCTGACGCTGTAGACGGCACGGGCCGCGGCGATGGGCGAGCCGGGCGGCAGCCACGGCGCAAAGGCATCCGCCTCACGCGGCGCCGTGCAAGACGCCTCTTCGACGCGGTCTCCCTTGTACTGAAAGATGTACGCGGTCTTGGTGCCACATGCCGCCACGACTCGCTCGGCGAGGCAGAGTAGTCGCGAGCAGTTGGTGGCCCTAAGTGTCGCAATGGAGGTCATTGCAGTGAACCCTAATGGAGAACAACTACTTTGGTTGGAAAAAAAAAAGAGTTACTCTCCCGTATCTTCTTCTCACGGCTGAGTTGTGTGACTGAGTGACAGTGTGTATGTGTGTGTGTGTTGCCTAGATATGCGTACCGCGAAAAACCTGAGGGAAATACATAGACACACGTGACTTCTCTCGTGATAACTATCGCAGAAATATATTTCATTTATCCATGCCAGTGAGATTGTGGTTCAACATTCCGAAAGTAAGTAAAGAACAAAATCAGAAGAAGGAAGGGAAAGCAAGTCAAAGAGATCATTGCTCGAAAGATATGCCGTGAAGTGCCGTTCAAACCCACAGCAAAAGGCCTGGGAATGAACATTGTCGCCCCGCTGAAAAAAAAAAAACCCAGCAGCACAGAGAATTGATCTCTACAGACACGCACGCAACCTTCCTGGCTGCATCACAGCAGCTGCAAAAGCGCGTTCATGAAGGCAGGAGGTCGACAAATCAAGTACACGGAACCTTCGTGTTTCTCCTATCGACAGTGACACATGTGGAAAGGGGATTGAAACAGTCCTCCTCCCCCCCCCCCCACACACACACACAACAA